TGGTTTCTCAGCTCGAAGTAGAAGAGAAAGGAATAAACATAAAAGACTTACTGTGAGGGAAGACCGAAGGATCCTGTCCTCGAGGGCTTCGTCTTCATCAGCCCCGAGGGCTACTCTGTCAATCTCGAGGGTGATGCCTCTCAGAAGCGCCCTCGGGTCGGCCGTACCGTTCATCACGGCCGTACCAGCCGGAGGGAAACCATGAGGACCTCGGAAGATGGCCCCTGAGCTCCCGGCGGCACTTTCGCCACCTGCATGTCGTCATCCGCCCCGGAGGCAGGGCCTTCATCAACAATGATCACCGAGGGGACTTTCTTCCCGGCATCCCCGGTCTTGGGCTTCTTGCCCTCGGGATCTCTGCCCGAGCCCTTCCTTTTGGCGGCAGCGGCAGCCTCAGCACTTGGGCCCACCGACGGCCCCTCCGGTTTTTTGAAGAAGTCACCGGCGGGTTTTGGGACACCGGCGTCCGTCCCCCTCGGGCCCTTGGAGGGTTTTTTCTTCTTCAGGTCTGCAAGGCCTCTGACGTTCATCATTTTCACTGGGACACCTGCAAAAAAAGGTATGGGGTCAAAATCGAGGGGTTACTGACCGAAGGCACAAAAAAAAACGAACAAAATAAGCTATGTGCTAAGATATGAAAACCGAGGGACCTCGTAGACTACCTCCTGTTCCCCCGAAGGCCTCAGCAAAAATGGGGTACTTCTCCTCCGCTTCCCCAATAAATCGGTATCTCCGAAAGCCGAGGGCGTAGAATCCCTTGTCGGCAGTATAGTCTTTGATGGAGACCTGCTTTGTGCGACCCTCCGGGATTTTGGCTATCACCAGGCCATCTTTTTCGAGGGCGGCGCTTCCAACCTTCGCTCCTTCCAGCGCTCCTGACATAGCACCAGCGCTCCTTCCAGCCCTTATTGGACGAAGGCGCCTCCGTAAACAGCTTCCACCTGGCCACCTGCTGCAGGTTGGCGAAGCCCTCGGCATTCGCGTGACCCCCTCGACAGAGGTTGAAGCTCTGGAAGAACAAGTCCAGGCTGGGGGTCACCCCTCGGTCCCTACAGAGGTTTAAAAAACCTGCCACGTAGGAGTGGCTATTAGGTGTCAGCTGGCAGGGTACCAAGCCAACAAACCTCAGGTACTCCCGGAGGAAGGGATGCAGAGGGAACCGAAGGCCCATGGAGACCGACAGTACGTGTACTGCAATGCACCCCTCAGGCGCCCGAGAGAGCACGTCATCAACTCCCGGCTCGACCACCACGGCCGTGGGCCCTACATGTAGCTACGTCACGTAGAGGTCCGCCCTATCCGCCTTCGACTTTATCTCTAAGGCAGCCGTGTTGAGCCAGGAATACCCCTCCGGCATATCTACGGGTTTCCCCTGATCAGCAGCAATGACCTTCTTCTTGGGGCCAGCTGCCTTGGCCTTCTTCTTCCCGGGGGCCACCCGGATGGGAACTGCATTCAGCGGCTGGGAAGTACTGGCCTCACCAGCACCCCGAGGGGGAAGGACTGCCACAGTGACCTTCGCCCTCTCCTTTTCCTCCTCCTCTTCAGCAACTTGGACGGCGAGGGCCAACTCTTCATCCTCGGCAGTTCGCTCGAATTCCTCCGCCTCGGCCTCCGCCATCAGATCCTTCTGCATCTCAGTGGCGAGGGCTGCATCACCACCATCCGAGGGCTGACCACTGCTGGACTCCACGTCAGAGATGCCTTCGTCCTCCATCGAGGGCGTCCTCGAGATGTCCTGAGAGTCACTCTGGGACGACATTCTAACTCTAGCTCGAGGGTTCGGGGGGAACTAAGGTTTCTAGTGAATTCTATCTCCTAACCCGAGGGCGCAATGTACAGCTATACTAGAAGGAGAAAGGCAGGGAGCACTGACCTCGAAAGCTGAGTTAGGACCGAAGGCTTGAGTTTCTCTCACTAGAATTTTTGGCAGAGCTTCCCTAAGACAACTGAGTTCGCACAGCGGGAATGGCTCTGGCCTTGGGGTATTTACAGGCGCTGGAATCCGGGCTTGGGCCCGGAAACCGGGCCTCCGGACGGACCGTCATCATTACACACCGACGTTTCACCCAACCGGTGACGCCGCCCACGAACAGCCAGCCATCACACGCCACGTGTGCCACCCCCCCAACGGCTATATCCTGTCGTTACATATTCCAACGGCTATATTTCCAACGGCTATATTCTGGAAGCCCCCGGGTTTTCTACTTCACTACTCTTCATCAAGGATAGCCTCCGGGTACACTCACTCAGAAGTGCCCCCGGGTTGTGCCCCGCACAGCACATAACATCCGCCTTCGGGACCACTCCTTCAGAAACCCGAGGCTTCATATCAGGGCACCCCTCGGGGTTTCCCCCTCAGCACTGCAAAACCGGGTAGCCCCCGGGGAGTGCCTCATTGACGGATGGCCCATGGCGCACAGGTAATGGGAGCCCTCGGGTATCTTCATCGCCAACTAATCAACAAACAGTGGACCCCCCCGGAAACAACTCCATTGTCGCCCTCATCCAGCAGGCCCTCGATCCCCGAATTGAGGGCCTCCCCTTCGGCGCCACCAGGACATCAACAGAAAGCCTTCGGCTGATCAATACATGAGCCCTCAGGAAAAGAAGAGCCTTCGGCATTACCGTATTCTCCATTTTTGACCAAGGTTTGACATTTTCGAGTCATCATTGGGGGAATTCGGTGCACTCTTTTTCCCTCATTAGGATTTTTTTCCCCCAGGGTTTTTCCTAATGAGGTTTTTAACGAGGCATCCCCCCAAAATGAAACGAAAAGCGTCAGCCTTCGGCCCACAACAGCAACGCAACTACTCTACTCATTATCACCACTTTACAAGTGCCTCAAGGAGTGGGGGACTGGAGGACCCCCTCGGGAAAATCATTAAATTACAAAAGATGTAGAAACTCCAACAAACAACAAAGCAAGCCCTCAAGTCCCGACATGTGGGTAACTGAGGGACTGCCTTCGGCAGGGACATAAAAGCAACAACTCCTCACCAACTTCAGAGATCACGACGGGACAACATCAAGGGGCAAGCACAAATTACTCCTTTTCCCTCAAGTACCTTTCGGCAAAAGGAGTGAGGGACTCCTGATGGAGTATATGGCCCGGGAACCCCCGACCCACAGACTCCTACTACTCCAGCGAAGGCCCAAAAGGCCCAAAAGGCCCAAAAGGCCCAAATCACAGCGCCCAGAGTACCAAGCAGTCCGCACTACGCGCCAGGGGTGCCTTCGGCCCACTGGCCAAAGGCTCCAAATTCTCACAGAACGGGTTTCTCAAGCAAATTAAGAAACTAGGAGAAAACGGCGAAAACAGTAGCCCTCAGCATTGTGAGCCCTCGGCACCAGGGTGCCATCGGGTGGAAGAGCCCTCGGCTACTGCTCTATAGCCGAAGGCATCTCACTCGACAAGATATCCGCCTCACATGCGCAATGATCACCGTACCCCGCACAGACGTCCCATCCAACAGCCGCATTAAATGCGGCCACATGCGGCTGCCAGCGCCAACCAGTTGAGGTGACCCCTCGGCCAATGAGCGCTTGACACGTGTCCCTGCCCGGCATTTATTGCTACTATAAATAGCACCCCATTTCCTCATTTGTAACCACGCTGAAAACGGCATTCATACTGAATACACTCTCTCTCTACTTTTACTTACTTGCTCTGACTTCTATCTAAGTTATTCCCCGTAATAACCCTTCGGATATATACCCCCGGGTAGACCATCCATCAATAAGGTTTTCGCGGCTTATACATTTTGAAACAATTTCTTGTTAACATTGGTCGTATGATCGATTTGTTCGTCATCTTCACCTTAAATTTAAATTTTCAAACTCTAACGATTTATTACTCTCAATACTACAATACGTAGTATAATGTTTTTTCTGCTAAGAGGCTACAGAGAATTGTCTCTTCATTTGACGTTGTGTTGCTAAAAAATTGACATCACAACACGGTTTTTAGTGATTTAGCTTACAATGTTTTGTTCAGTATATAGAAAACTAATATAAAAAATGAGAGTGTAATTGACATTATTAAAACAAATGATATATATATATTTCATCGGGACTAAGATATATACAAAGTTAAAAAATAAGACTATATATGTATGTCTAATATTCTTAATATAACTTATTTAGTCTTGTTAAAAGAATAAATTCATTAGAACATCTCAAATAAGAGTGATTGATTCATATTTTAGGAATAAAATAATAAAATTTTCATTTATCAATTTATATTTCTTTTAGTCCTATTTAGGATATTTTCTCTAAATGATATTATATTAAAAATATTAATAAATGACATACCAACAATCAACCAAAACAATAATCATAATAATAATAAAAATAATAGTAATCATTACAATAATAATAATCAGAAACATTATATTGTTTTGACTTGAACTTATTTCAGTTCTAGACCAAACCAGACGTCGATAATTGTAAAATATATGAATATCATACATTTATCACACTTGTTCAGACGAGATCAGGTTAAATCAGAAATTTTTTGTCCAAATAAAAAAAGAGAATATTACCCAAAATAGAACTAAAACAGTTTGAAAATTCCAAAATAGGACAGTCATGTTTTTTATTCCCAAAATAGGATTAATTACTGTCATGTTTTGGCAGTACTAGACTTCAAACATGGCAGTATTTTTTAAACATGACAGTAATTAGTCCTCTTTTAGGAATAAAAAACATGAAAATCCTATTTTGGAATTTTCAAATTGTTTTAGTCCTATTTTGGGAACTTTCCCATAAAAATATCCTAATTATATAACAACAATCATAGAAACATATCAACAATAACCATAACAATAATAAAAAAAGTATAATATAACAATAACAATTATAATAATACATGTCATTCTTCACAGGCCGAATGGTTATTTCAAAAGGACGTAATCCATTTCATACGGCCCAAAACCATAAATTAAATCTACTCAGCCCAACAATTGAAACCTAACCCACCCTATTTAAACTCTTCTTCTACTTTCAGCCTCCTCATTTGTCCGTACACCGATCACCTTTCAGACCACCAGTTCTTTCGATGGCCTCTATTTTCACTCTGTTTGCTTGATTCATGTTTCATCTTATTTGTCTGTTAAACGTTTGTTCTTCCACTCACCATCTTCAATTAGTGTTTCCTCATCTCACCACATGGTTTTTAAACACCATCATCGATTATTCATATCGTCCTTTACCCGAAGTCAATGGTATTCTCCGATGTTCTCTTATTCCATCAAGGCTGAGGTAAAACCGAAGGATCTCAAACCACGTCTGCCTTTGTTTCATGATTCCGGTATATCCCCTGCATCTTCGTTGTTTTATCGTGATTTTCTTGAACGGTTATGTAATTGGATTTGCTTATTGTTTTTTCATGTATGCACTCGTCATTCTGACTATTTACATGTATAGTTGCATATGATTTGGAAAAATATTGCATGTTTAAACAGATTTATATTGTAGACTAAATCTGTATTTTGTTTCCACAAAATACCTCTTTAACAGATTCCTTTTACATGTCTAAACCTAAACTACTCAAATTTATATTTTTGCGTATGGAAATTTAAATCTACTCAAATTTATAAATAATATGCATGTTTGGATATGATGTATACCTATTTGTATTTTTAAATGCCAGCAATTGTGAAATTCTATATTTAACCTAGCTTCTATCTATTTTGTGATACATGCCGTTTTCGTTCAGACCCCATATAAAACATGTATTTTGAGTACACCTATAGATACTTTTAAATTGATTAAAATAGTCTGTGAGATCTGATTTGTATAACTATTAGAAAAGTTTTTGCTTAAAATAATATTAGCTGGAAATGATATTTACATTTCTAGATTAGAGCAATAGCTTGTAAATTGAAGTGCCTAAACTACTTAAAGCATAATACTAAAGCTTTTGTTTTAAAAAATGTATGAAACCTTGTATTTTATTGAACTCCTGTGAGTCTAACACCAAGTGAGTCTCCTCATAATACTTTACAAAAGATTTCTAGTTCTTTTTGGGTTTTCAAGTTCTTAGTGACATTGTTCTGAAGTCCATCTTCATTTAGCTTTTAAAACATCAATGAGCATACAATGTTAAAAGTGTCATTGTATATGTATTACTGTAGAGTATCATTGTATATGTATTACTGTAAAGTGTCTTTAAAGAACTGATTACCTATACTTCAAGCTATTAACGATACAACTAACATTCAAAAAAATCCTTTTTTTTTGTTAAAATCTTAAACACAATAATAGAAAAGGCTTTCTAAATCCACTTCTTTATAAAATAGTTGTGGGATTGTAATGGCTGTATCATCAAACCTATATCGTTACCCATTTTGTGACCAAGAATTAATTTACTTGCATGTGGTTTGAGTATAAAAATTGTTTCATTATCAAACACACTAAAACCTTTGTGAGCCTCATATGGATTCTTGCATATGATTCTGGCCCCTAACCATAAGGCCGCCGGATTCCCTGCCAGCCCCCTTAATGGTCTTGATAACAGAGCGGCCTCGGAGACCCCGGTGTGCATAAGCCCAATTTATGATGCTACATGACTGAACACATTTATACATGGTAATTTATCATTCTGTACATTGTTATGAAGTATACTTTTATTTTTCTTTCGGTAAAATTAATATATATGTATATGTGTGTGTGTTAATTATTTATATTTGTTTATGATTTATATAAAACTCAATCAGGCCTGCTTAATAGCCCTGGTAAATAAAACAATATTTACCACGTCTTCTTTGTCACAGCCAACATAAATATGCACAATGTCATGGGGTGTCTTATTTAAAAATCAAAACATTGATTATTTCAATAACATGAGATAGCCAAAACACTTCAAAATCTTTCTTTGTTTACTATTTTTAAACTCACATGTGTTCCTCTAATAGAGGTCAGGTGGATGACTTGTCTTCACAACATCAACTCCATGTTCTTATTTTTTGCTTGTACAAACCCAATTGCATCATCTTGATTGTAGAATGAATCCTCCCTCCTTGTCATTTACAATGAATGTTAACCATTGGTAAACCCAACGTTAATGTAACTTGAATTGAATTTGCTTTTATTTTCTAGAAAGCATCAAGGAGCATATATAATACCTCTTGTCATGGAAAACAACTGCTAGAGTTTACCCATCATTGGAAAGAGCCAGAACTTCAAATCCCCTCATGACCTTCAGTCTCAAAGCCTAGTTCAGTTTAGTGTGATCTATATCGTGTAAAATGTTTTACTTCGGTAGCATTGCATTTCAAGTACTTATTTAACAAACTTTAAGCATACCACAATGATTTGAAGCATACCTCTTAACCTCTCACCTAGAAGTTTTATAAACTAATGTTATAACACTACCATTTGTGGTGTGTCTAGAAAACCCTCCACTTGGATATTTAGTGGCTGGTGAGAGAATAGTTTGAGGCAATTGGGTATTATCCAAGGGATAAATACCCACTCGATCTTTATATCGGGATGTTGGCATACAGAAGTTTAATTGTAATGTAAAGATAGTACAGTGCATTCAATGTTTGGGTGGCACAAGAATTGCATTTGGGATTTTTTTGTAGCCTCTAAGATTTGAAGTACAACTTACTTCCTTTTTTTAATAATCACAAAATCATATTTTCGAAAAGCTGTGGAGAGGTACGAAAATCTTCTACATCATAGTACAATTCATTAAATGTTTTTGTGGCTCAAGGCTGCATGGAGACTTTCTTTGTGATCTCCTGATTGAAAAGTACAAATTAGGATATATTTTAATTCATAAAAGCAGCAATGGATACCGGGCCAGCTTTAAAGCTGTCAGTGGGTTGCTACAGACTTGTTTCTGCACCCATGGATAATCCGACCTGACTCGTTACTGTACAGTGTTTGGGCAGGAACACTGTATAGTTTTTCTCTTGGCTATGTATAATAGAAGATAATTGGAATAATAAATTCTTATCTAAAGCGGGAAAGGAGGTGCTTTTAAAAGCAGTGATTCAGGCTATGCCTACGTACTCTATGAATGTTTTTCTTTTGCTTGTTGACCTGTGCCGGAAAATAGAAAACATTATGAATGGGTATTGGTGGAAGGGCAAAGCAGGAAAAGGGATACTTTGGAAGGATTGGGCCTCTCTTTGTGTGCCAAAAACGGCAGGTGGTCTGTGTTTTAAAAGGCTCCGAGATTTTAATTTAGCTATGTTGTCAAAGCAAGCTTGGAAAATCTTTACGAACCTCGAGTCGTTGGTGGGCCGAGTGTTTAAAGCGAGATATTTTCCAAAAGGAGATTTTCTCAAAGCAAAACTAGCGAATAGCCCTTCTTTTATCTGGCGCAGTCTTATTCATACTCAGAATATTATCGGGGAAGGCTACTACTGGAGAGTGGGAGATGGACATTCTATAAATATTATTTGGGAGGAGCTGTGGTTGCTGGATAGGGGAAATTCGAGAGTCATAACGGAGAAGCTTGAAGGGTTAGATCATATTTTGGTGGCTAACTTATTTGTCACCAATCAACGGGAGTGGGATTTGGATGTTGTTGCTGACATTTTTGGGGCCAGAGATGCGGCTATTATCCGAGGTATACCTGAGTAAGGGCCCAACAAGGGACTCTTTGTGTTGGAGATGGGAGGAGAATGACATATTTTCAGTGCGGAGTTGCTACCGAAACTTGATGGGGGAGTGTGGTGGGCAATCGGGATTCGAATGGACTGACATGTGGAAGGTCAAACTTCCACCTAAAATTAAAATGTTTTTTGGCAGGTTTGTAGCGGTTGTCTTCCTTTGAGGCAAAATTTGCAGGTTCAAAGAGTGGACTGTCCGGGGCAGTGCGGGCCTTATAACGAAGCTTTGGAATCTGCGGAGCATATTTTCCAGCGGTGTGCTATGGCTCTTGATTTGTGGATGGAGCTTTGCTGGCAATGGAGTTCCGGGGATGGCAGCCCTTTTACTGAGCAGGTTAATGGGGAATTCCGGCAGAAGAGACAAGAAGACTTAGAGCTACTAATGTGGGGCTGCTGGGCTCTTTGGAATGAACGCAACTTGCGAGTCTGGGAGGGGAAGAGATCTTCGTTGCAGCAGGTTACCAGAAGGGCAAGATCTTCGGTTGATGGGTGGAAGAAGGCGCAAGGAAGAGCTGCTGAAGGAAGAAGACAACATGCTGGAGCAAGGAGCAGAGTCGTTTGGTGTAGACCTGGGCCGGGCGTCTGGAAATTAAACGTCGACGCGGCTACTGGGGTGCATAATGGCGGGATAGGTTAGTGCCTTCGGGACGAGAAAGGTGACTTCATTGCAGGAGCGGCCAGAAAGTGGCCAGGGAGGTTGACACCGCTGATGGTAGAGATGGTCGGCATACGTGAGGCTTTGAGCTGACTTAAAGACTTTGGGGGCTCAATGATCGAGGTTGAATCAGACTCAGCAGGAGTGATATCAGAAATCTTGAATGGTTCGAGCTGTTCTGCTATGGGTTTACTGAGAGAAGACATCAGTGATTTGATGAATTTTTATTCGAGCATTTATTTTAGTCATGTTAAGCGGTCAGCGAACAAGCCTGCTCATTTCTTTGTCTGATTCGCAATTTTGGGTTAATCCATTTCTTTCAAAAAAAAAGAATTAAGAGAACATCAATTTAACGCCCTCTCATTTGATTAATGGTAATACTGTACACAATCTTGTACTAATCCTCTTATCATGTTGATATTTTACCATGAAACTTCGAGTATTAACATGCATGGTATCAAAGTCAGATTCAATTGTGATTTGATTGTTATTTAGCATCTATGACTCAGGGTAATTTTGTCTTTCCTGCTTGTTCCCCCGGTATTGACCAGCCCGGTTTAGACTAAAAAGTGTGTTAAAAATATTTTTGTCGCACTAGATTGATATAAAATAATAAAATACTATCATCCGTTATTTAAAAGTTGTAACAATTTGACTTTCACGTTTGCCAACACATAATTTTGATCGTAACTATATTTAATTACATATTAGTAAACATTTAAAAAGTTAATTTTTTGGAAATTTATCATAATAGAAATTTAATAACATTTTATACATAATAATTTATTAAAAGTATTACTAGAAAATCCTAGTCAAAGTAAGATGTGTGAATAGTGCAAAAATCTCAACGTTGCAACTTTTAAAGAATGAAAAAAGTATTATATAAAGATTTTGGGGATATAAGTCGATCTTTTAAAATAGAACCCGGAGTGTTAAGAGATTATAGACGATGCATTATAACACTTACCTTATGAAGAAGTGTATGTATTTTTGAATGTTTAGTAATCGTGTGAAATTAATACTCCATCAGTTGATAGTGTAACCATTGACAAGTTCTTAGTACCGAGTGGCGAGTTTAATAGTGGGTAATTTCTCGGGATATATAATCATGTTTTTATTTCTGAAATGGGACTAACATGGCAGTATTTACTGTCATCTTGTAGGCGTGACTGCCAAATAGTTGCAGTACAGTGCATTTAACATGACAATATTTATTATATGTAATTAAGGACAATATTTTTCAATCATGTCAATATTTTTCATACATGACTGTAACAACTCCTATTTCGGGAAGAAAAACATAGTAGTCATATTTTGGAATTCCAAATCTCATTTGCTCCTATTAAACATTGAGTTTCTCTAAATATGACTAACTTTGTTTTTAGACATCCGTGTGAGTAAAAAGCCAAAAAACTCTATATTAAAATGTTGAAGGACGAGAGTAACCTTATTAAAAGATGCATTTTGTAGTACTTTTGTCCAATTAAAAAACTGCCCTTTATACTGCATTACTGCATTTCATGGCTTTATGTCGATATTGTTGCACGACATTACGAAAATGTTAGGAATTTATCGTTCTTTTTGTTCATTTTACATTTGATAACTTTTTATAACATGTAATTAAATATATTTCACTTTATGCCAGCGTAATTGCAATTCATATCGGAGTTACTGCACGACATTACGAAAATGTTAAGAATTTATAGCTCTTTTATCTTTTTAGATTTGATAACTTTAGTTTTTACGTCTAATTGAATATACTGCACTTTATGCATGTCACCGTCAATGCTCTACATTGCTGCATGATAAGTCCATATTTAGACACGCATTTGATGTGTGTTGGGATCGACTTGTGATGGTTTTCCTAGCTTTAAGGTGTTACAAGTCTCAATTTTAGCTCAAATTATGTTACCAGGCGTTGGTTCGAGTTTTATGTCTTTTCGAGTCAAAATCAGGGAATTTGAGCCCAGCACCGGCGCTTGAGAAGCAAACGGGATGATTTGAGAAGCATTCAAGAGTGAAATGAGAGCTTTGGAGATCACCGGGAGGTTCACAATGAAGGTTTGATGACAAAAGAGCTCTATGATTGGCTACGGGATCAAAAGAAGACAAATAGAGCTTGAAAACGACGTTCAGAATGACCTTATGTCAATCGTTCAAGAATATCTTTTCGTAGAAGCATCTAAAGAACACTATTCAAGTTTCATATGAAAGCCAACTTCAAGGGCTACAAATCATATGAAGACACCATTCCGAGAATAGGAGAGGAAGAAGGTGAAAACAGACGATGAAGCCAGATGATCCCTGTTGCAATTTCAGAATGAGACCTTCCACCATTTTATTCATATCTCTTGATTGGATGATTCAAAACCAATTCCTAAAAATGTGGTGGATAGAGGACTTCATTATACACAACTTTCATGAAGGAAGTTTTGTCAAATTCGAAATAGAAAACGGTGAAAAACCTTGTCCTATTTCGACAAGAATTCGTATTTTCCCCCCTTTTTCTATAAATAAGGCCTTCCTAACCCTATTTTGGGGGTACGAACATTATGGAGCTACTGAGAATGACAACATCATCTGGGAAGATATTGATAAGAACTATGTTAACGAACAAAGAAATAAACTTGGGTTGTCTCCCAAGAAACGCTATTTTTAACGTCGTTTGCCCGACGCAACTACCCCATAGCTCTCAAATAGCAAAGACTGCAGTGGCGCACTAATAATCAACCTCTCCAGGCCAGCTTCCTCTCAACAAATGCCATTAGGTGTCGCAGACCTTTAAATTCTCCAGTATACGTAGGCAGCACTTGGTCTTCATAACCCTCATCAGCACAGAAGAGTGAAGTATGAAACTCTCATCCTCTTCGGGCGGACAAAGAACATGAGTGAAAACTTTGATTACTCTAGGTGTCACTGGAAGCTCAGAGATGTTTCAAAACAAGGATTAGAAGCAACACCATAATCGAACTGCACCATAGAAAAGTCTTCATCTTCCTCACAAGTATAATGAAAATTCACTGTGATACCTTGAAAATTTGAAATAAAAATAAATAAATAAATAAATAAATCAGGTAAGTTATATCTGATAAATCAAATGAAAGTAATATCAAAATATTTTGTATTATACTTGGTGTATAAAAATATATGCACGATACATGCAATAAAATTAAACACTTATGTGGCATCGAAAAAATAAAATAAAAATAAAATGGAAATAAATCAGATAAAATATAGATGACGGAACAAACAAATAAATAAATAAATAAATAAAAATAGTAAGAATATTAAAAATTACTAATAATAGCATCAAATTAATAAATGAAAATATCAGATCATGAAACAATGACACATGCTAGGATCACCTACCAAATAATGTATATACATTATGTACATATATTTACATATATAATTATATATATTTATATGTAAGAATTAAAATAAAAAAATAAAATAAAATAAAATGAAACATCAATATAAATGGGAATCAAATCATGAATCAATACACATGCCATGTTCATCAAAATGAAAATATAGTACTACTACTACTACTACTACTACGACTACGACTACTACTACTACGACTACTACTACGACCACCACCACCACCACCACCACCACCACCACCACCACCACCACCACCACCACCGCCACCGCCACCGCCACCGCCACCGCCACCGCCACCGCCACCGCCACCGCCACCGCCACCGCCACCGCCACCGCCACCGCCACCGCCGCCGCCGCCGCCCCCGCCGCCGCCGCCGCCACCGCCGCCGCCGCCGCCACCGCCGCCGCCACCGCCGCCGCCGCCACCACCGCCACCACCACCGCCACCACCCACTACCGCCACCACCGCCACCACCGCCACCACCGCCACCACCGCCACCACCGCCACCACCACCACCACCACCACCACCACCACCACCACCACCACCACCACCACCACCACCACCACCACCACCACCACCACCACCACCACCACCACCACCACCACCACCACCACCACCACCACCACCACCACCACCACCACCACCACCACCACCACCACCACCACCACCACCACCACCACCACCACCACCACCACCACCACCACCACCACCACCACCACCACCACCACCACCACCACCACCACCACCACCACCACCACCACCACCACCACCACCACCACCACCACCACCACCACCACCACCACCACCACCACCACCACCACCACCACCACCACCACCACCACTACTACTACTATCAAATAAATAAACTACCATAAGGACCATCTAGACCTATAAATACACCCTCTTAGCCATCCCAAACTCTGCAAATCGGAGAGATAGAAGCTATATATACATATACATACATACATATATATATATACATACATAATCTCGCCGAAAATTATTATCTATATTAGTTTACGTATCAAACTTCGTAAAAACGATAGAGGAGGGTCGTGAGAGGTCTAGAAATACCTCCCAATAAATTCCAGACTGATTCGTAGTCACCGGAGCGTCATAGAGCTCGCCGGAGTTGCAAGTCGTGGAAGCGGGTCTTCAGAAAAAGCGGATATTTTGCCGTAGATAGGGGTGAAGGAGCTTCGTCTCGCTGTCAGGATCATTTTGCAATTTGAATCGTCGAAATCCGTTACCTGTAAGTACAGATATCACTCGCCGAAGTTTCCCGATTTTCGTTCGCCGGAATCGTGACCTGGAGAAAATCTGGGAAGAAGACAACCCAGTCTTCTTGAGCCGGGTCGCGTTTTTGGGCCGGTTCGGCCCTTTTTCAATAAAAATTCAAAATAAAATAGTAAATGAATTAAATAAAATCTGGAAAAATAGAAATTAAATACCTAGTGTAAATATACATATTCGGACCAACCAGAATTGAAAAATAATATTTTTAACTATTTTTAATTGATTTAATTGTAATTGGGCCAATTTGTACATATTTAGTAAATAATTAACTAAATGACGAAATAAATTATGAAATAATTATCAGAGTAAATTAGATTAAATATATGACTAACTTGGACATTTGGGACCATTTATATTTAATATAAATTATGATTAGTATATTTAATTGTAATTAAACCGGTTAATAGATATATGAAATTAAATGAATAAATAAGGGAAATAATTCTAAAATAAATATCTGGACAACATAGGTCAAATATAGACCCAAAATATAGTTATGGATGGTTATAAATTTATAAAGTCGATTCTTAAGCTATTTAATTTAATTGGGCCATATAAAACTAGTTAAGTAATTAAATAAGAAAATTTGAATAATAATGGTGAAATAAATAAAATCACTAAGATTGGAAATAATATTCTGGACTAAAATGAGGTTTGGAATAAAATAAGGAAATGAAAATAAAATTGTGATAGCTAGCATAAATGAATGACTATATTTGGACTTAATAAATAAATTATTGAATTAGTGGACTAATTAAATTAGTGTGATTAAATTAATAATTATTATCCTTGATTATTATTGATTTGGAC